TTTGTAATAATTTGTTCTAATTTTTTCATCACAGCTTTCCCACTCTTGCTTAGTAACTCCGTTGTTATATCATCTTCTTCGGGTGCTTTATCGTTTTTTAGTATATCAATTGCCATTTTTATTTCTTTTAACATCCGTTATGCAGTGTTTCCTTCTGGAGTCAATCATGACATGATCTATTTGATTTTTAGTTGTTTCCCCGGGGAACATCCATGTCTGTTTATGGATTTATTTATGCGGAAAAACGTACTACTTATGGTCATTCCCTTGGACGTTGCAAAGGATATTAATCTAACTCCGTTGTCGTTCGAGTCATTATGGAGGCTTTGTTGTCCTATCGTCAGTTTGTAATATATTTCTTTCCTAATTTTTGCATTTAAGTCCCCTAGTACGATTTTGACCATATTTTGAGGTATTGTGTCATATAGTGCTTCTAGTTGTTTAAAGAAATCGTTTTTTGTCTCCTCGTTTTTGTCCTCTTTTGAAGCATAGAAATTAATCAGTGTTATATTAAACCATTTAGCTTGAATTTCCTAGAAGCATAGCCCATCATTAATTGATTCGAATCGCTTTATGTTATTGAGTATCCTTTCGCTGACTACGAAGCCAACTCCCCTTTCATGTCCTGATCCTCCACTGTAGAATAGTGCTGCTTTCTCTGTTTTGTGATTGCCAGATCCGGGCCATCTAGTTTCTTGAATTGCTAATATAGCCAGTTCGTATCAGTCAAGTTCAGATACTACTGTTGTCAGTGTTCCGGTCCTGTATAAAGAGCGCACGTTCCATGTTCCAATTTTTAAGTCCTGTATGTCCACATCTTTCCGAGGCTTTTGTGTTGGTTATTTCTTAACAATGTTTTTTTTCCGGGGATGGGTTGTTGGCCCATCCCTCAACCCCTAAATTGGAGGACCATACCCACTCAACCAATTAAGGTAAGGTGAGGGCTACTGCAGTGCAGTTAGCACTGGCGGCGGAATCGCTAATTTCCCTACGCCACAGCTCGGGGACCCGGGTTCGCTAAACCCGTAACACGCAGTGTCCTGAGATTTCGTTGTTTTATTTTTTTTTTTTTTTTACTTAACATATTAATTTATGTACTTAAATTTCATTTTCTTTAATTATTTAATACATCAGCACTTATTTAATAAATATTCAAATGTTATATTGTTCAATTTTTTTTTTTTAATGGCCTTCCAATCGTTATTGCATCCCGGCCTACTGAGACTTAGATCCGACACTGGTTGTATGTACGTAATTTTCTTTTATACTTCAGAAACAATTAACACTCATCACTTATGTACTTAAATCAATCGTTTTGAAATGTAAATGACATGTTTTTCTTAATAAATAAATCTTGCTCAAAACAACTAAGATATCTACATTCAGAGGTGGCTTGTAAGCAATTAATACCGGGGCGGTGTCATTTTTTTGTACATTTTGTTTAAATAAATTGAAATTCAGTAGGCATATCAATATATTTATGAACATATTTGGCGATACAAGGTTTACGTTTTAACGTTTAAGTAGTTTTAATGTAATTCTAGGGAAGCCGGAACAATTTTTTTGAGGTAGATGGGGTGGATTAAAATATACTGTCCCGGTAAAATGTAAATGTTCGAGCCGTCTCTGTCTACATATCTATGCAATGCATTGAATTTATAAGTTTTCTGATAATAATTATACACAATGTACAAATTAACACGTTAAAATGTGTTATTGTTATGGAAAACGATAAAACGCATTAGCACTGGTCGTTTGAAGTGGTTTTATTTTGTCAGTTTTGATTACGAAAATAACAATATTTATTATTATTAAATTAACAGTGTACGAGTTGTGTATGAATGGGTGTGTTTTAATACTCAACATAAGTGAATAATACAACATTAATAATAATCCTATTTAACCGTGAAATCATGAATTACGACCATTCCCGCCGTACAGTACATTGTGTGTTTACGCTATGCGTATTAATTATTGTGAGCAATAAACCGCGGTTCAAGTACCGCACGGCACATTTCGTCGAGCGATAAAAAAAAATAAATATATTAACATCGTTTGTCATTGTAGATAACTAAAAAAAAAAAAAAAAAATAATAATAATAATAATAATCGCGTTCACATTACACTCTCACATTATTCATCACCGTCGTTTTTATTATTATTACCATTGCGATCCAAAGCGGCGCGTGGGCGTCGTGTGCGCGCGCGCGCGTAGTATTTATCCGGGCGAGGCCGTATCCGAATCGGTCAGCTGTCGCATGCGTCGTTCCCGTTTCTCGGACAATAACAATACGTACGCGTACACGGAATAAATACGTCGACGACAACGCGCACTTATTTATAATATTCATAATATGTACCGGTCAGCGTGCACGAGTGCTTGCGTGTACGTGTGCGCGCGTATACGTGTGTGTGTGTGTGTGTGTGTGTGTGTGTGTGTGTGTGTGTGTGTG